GCTGCGCAATATACCTATGCTGCGACAACACTATCTCACCCGACTTCTCCCTCCTAATTTCCATGCCCCAAAACACCTTCGCTTCTCCAAGGTCGCGCACCTTGAAGACCTTCGCAATTGCGGCTTTAATTGCCCGGACCATTTCCGGGTCTTCCGACGCAACAATTGTATCATCTACGTGCACCAAAGCAATAACAACCCCACGCTCGTCCGTCTTAACAAACATCGCCGGATCAGACTTCGAAGGATAAAGACCTAGTTTGGCGAACTCTGCTGATAGTTTTTCATACCAGCAACGGGGTGCCTGCTTCAACCCGTAAATAGACTTCTGCAGCTTGCACGCAAGCGACCGGTCACTGGATGCATACCCAGGCGGTTGCTCCATCCACAACTCCTCCTTCAGCTCACCATTCAGAAACGCAGTAGACACATCGAGCTGATGTACCGTCATGTTCCGGGCTGCGGCAACTGCTAATAAAGCACGCAATGACGAACCACGAGAGGTAGGGGCAAACAACTCCCCATAATCAATCCCCTTACGTTGCTCGAAACCCTTGGCAACTAAACGCGCCTTAAAACGCTCCACGCTGCCGTCATCGCTGTACTTAACCTTATATACCCAACGACACGGCAACAAACGAGTACCAGGAGGTGGCTTCTTCAGCTCCCAAGTACTATTAGTCATCTGGGCGGCGATCTCCTCGTCCATCGCACGCCGCCAGTCGTCTGCATGTGGACTTGCAATTGCTTCCTCAAACGAATTAGGCTCAGGAATACCAGCAGAGAAAGCAGCGTTAACGCGACCAGTGACAGTGCGACCAGGTTCGTTTCACCACCATTCGCCAGGGTGTTTACGCTCTCTAACTGGATACCTAGTTCCCGCCATTTCCACATCAGGCTGATTGATTCCTTGCCCATTCGCACTGCTGGAAGGTCCAGCCCCAGCCGGCGCCCCCTCGCCACCCAAGTGCGGCGATCCCTCGCCGACGGTGCTACCTGGTATCCCTTCGCCAGCCCTAGGCAGCGATCCCTCACCAGGCAAACTAGTGCGAAAATCCTCCTCCTCGTCGGCATCGGACTCATAATCGGAGTCCCCGGCATTACGCCGCCGGCCGATGTTAGATTCATCAAAACGAACGTTGGAAACTACGGCAATAATGCCGTCCTCGTATAGTACACGATACTGTCCACCGTTCCCGTATCCGACAAGTATTCCACGCCTGCTCACCGGGTCGAACTTGTCGCGCTTGACGTCGGGTACGTGGACGTAGGCAACGCATCCAAAGACTCGCAGGTGACTGACGTTCGGACGAACGTTAAAGAAAGCTTCGTACGGAGTGACGGTTGACCCAGCAGTTGGCGACACATTCCTAAGATAGTTGGCTGTCGCTAACGCCTCCGCCCATAATGATTTAGGCAGTCCAGACTCAACTAGCATAGCCCTAGTCTTGTCCAAAAGAGTGCGATTTAAACGTTCTGCAGCTCCGTTCTGCTCAGGGGTGTAGCCTACCGTAGTTCCGTGTAGAATACCCCTGGAAGCGAAATAGGCCTTCGTGCGAGTATTAACGAACTCCCCGCCATGATCTGTACGCACCTGCTTAACCTGCCTGCCAGTAGCGCGCTCCAGTTCCGCTATCATTACCACCATCTTCTGGTAGACCTCCTCCTTGGTCGCTGTAAACGCAACAGCTGAAAGACCAGTATGGTCGTCAAGCAGGGTTGTCACGTAACGCGAACCACTAGGCGAAGGTTCAGGCATAGGCCCACACACATCCATGTAATGTAATGTAATGTAATGTAATTCCCACTCTGTAACATTACATTACATCCATGTGAATGAGCACGAGAGGCTGCGCTGCCTTATGCCCAGATAACGGAAAAGGACCACGTGTATGTTTAGCAAGGACGCAAGTCTCACACACACACGTGCTGGCTGATTGTATGCTGTGTCGGTCAACATCAAATCCAGCTACCATATTATGACGCAGCAACGTCTCAAGGTTGCTGTATCCCAAGTGGCCATACCTTCGGTGCCAAAGTGCTGCACGTTCAGCTCCGATACCCACGGCAGCACACACTGCATCACCACCAGAAGGTATCCTGTTGTCATCACGCTGCGTCCTCTTCAGAGCTCCCGTACCTCCACTGCTGTAGCAGACGGGATACAAGTCCCCATCCCGCTTTCCAGTCAGCACCAACTGGTTCTGTACGTATACTTTCGCCTGTCCGCCGCCGAAGACCACACTGCCTCCACGATCATCAATGATGCGTACCGATATGATTTTGGCGGTGGCCTCCTCGTCGACGTAGACCTTCTTGAAAGTGATGGCCTGTTTATCGTTGACGTTAGACCGAATCGTAAGCGTGCCAACTTCAGTCGGTCGAAGAGATTGTCCCTTGATGCCCATGATGTTGAAGCGCTCCCACGGCTCCAACAACCGCACGTTGAAAAATTCTGAGCGGTCATACGTTATGTGGTGAGTGGCGGCTGAGT